ACAGTCACGTGTTATTGGCTGACCCGCAGTTTGACGTTCCCGGACCGATTGATTTTCTGTTGGGTGCCGACGTCTATCCACAGATATTAGGACCGTCTTCACGTGCACTACATATCCCTGGACTACCATCTGCGTTAGAAACCACGTTAGGTTGGATCATTTTAGGTTCATCCGTGGATAAAGGTAAATCGCCGAAGGTGACCCTAATGCTAACCTCAGAAGTGACTATTGATAATCTTTTACGTACATTCTGGGAAATCGAAGAACCAATACCCACGAATAAGTTTTTTACGGGTGACCAAAAATGCGAAGAATTTTTCTGTCGCACTACGACTCGAGACGCTACCGGTCGGTTTACGTTATCGCTGCCATTTAAACACAATTCTTCGTTACTTGGGGTGTCACGCGACATGGCAGTCGCACGTTTTTTAAACCTTGAGCGTAAATTGATCAAAGACCCGGAAGTGTATGAACAATACCGGGCCTTTATGCGGGAGTATGAAGAGTTGGGACATATGCAACTCGCGTCGAGACCGGGCAAGTATCATATTCCACACCATGCAGTGATTAAACGAAGTGCCAAGACTATGAAATTAAGAGTAGTATTCGACGCGTCGGCGGTATCCGCTACTGGAAAATCGTTGAATGATATGCTCCATGTGGGCCCAAAATTGCAGAACGATATCTCAGATTTACTACATCGATGTCGACTTCATAAGTATATGTTTACGGCCGATATTTGTAAGATGTATCGGCAAATCAAGATACATCCTGATGACTGCCAATACCAACATATCGTTTGGCGTAATGATGTGTCCGATCCCCTTCAAGATTATGAACTAACTACAGTGACCTACGGTGTCACATCGTCACCTTACCAAGCCATTCGAGTGTTACATTCATTAGAAGAGACAGATGGTCACCGATATCCGTGTGCGTCAAACATCTTGTCTACACAAACGTATGTTGACGATATATTGACCGGTCATCGCACTGTTGACGGTATTGTTAAATGCCAAGAGCATATAACTCAGTTGTTAGCGAGCGCAGGATTTGAATTAAAAAAATGGTCTTCGAATTGTGATGAACTACTTCGCCATATTCCGAAAGAAAATCAATCCATTAATACATCATTCGACCCCAAAGATAATACGTCGGTAAAAATTTTAGGGTTACATTGGACACCGACTACCGACACATTTAGTTACCACACGTCGGCAGTACCCACAATTTATACAAAACGATCGATATTATCTACGATTGCTAAACTCTACGACCCAATCGGGGCACTGGGTCCGATAATATTTTGGGCGAAATGTTATATGCAATCGTTGTGGCAAATTAAGCTACAATGGGATGACCCACTCCCGCAATCATTGTGTGACATATGGAAACAATACTCATCGGAATTATCATGTGTTAATAAGATACGATTACCTCGATTTATTGCATGCCCAGATGACAGTAATGTTCAATTAATTGGATTTTCAGATGCTTCTGAAAAGGGGTACGCAGCTGTCATATATTTGCGAATATGTCACGCTGATGGAAATATTACAATTCATTTTATTACCTCAAAGTCCAAGGTAGCGCCGTTGAAGTCTGCGAATAAGGATACTTCATTAACTATTCCACGCTTAGAGTTGTGTGGAGCGCTGTTATTGGCACAAGTTCTAAACCGAATGATAATAACGTTTGAAAACATTGTACCTGCTGGCCACATATATGCATGGACGGATTCACAAGTGGTTCTATCTTGGTTAACATCGTCCCAACAGCAATTCAAAACATTTGTAACAAATAGGCTCGCAAAGATTGTGGAACTGTTACCAATGTGTAACTGGCGCTATGTTGCATCACAATCAAATCCGGCTGATTGTGTGTCACGGGGCTTACTCCCCTCACAAATTATCGATCACGATCTATTTTGGCAAGGACCACCATTCTTAAAAACCCCTGAATCGGAATGGGTTGTGGTATGTGTCAATAAATTACTACCATCACATCTGCCTGAGTATCGCAGTACTATGCCAAAAACGTGTTTGGCATCACTAGTCAACGTAGATGTTGATTGGGTCACCCAATTTTCGTCGTTAAAGCGCATGCAACGGGTGGTTGCGTTCATGTTACGGTTCGTCAATCGTGCTCGTAAGTTACCCATTCACGATGGTCCTATTCAATACACAGAAACGGAAGAGGCAATGCTACACATTGTTCGTATGACACAGCGTTCTTACTTTGCTAACTTGTTTAATACACTAAAGTCTCAAACATCGAAAGTGTCACCTCGGTCTATTGCTCAGCTCGCCCCGTTCGTTGATAAAAACCATATTATACGTGTAGGTGGACGACTTCGACAGTCACAGGTGCCATTTGAAACACAAAATCCTATATTGATACCTAAGTCTAGTATTGTGACCACCCTACTAATTCGGCATTTTCATTTGACGCACCTTCATGCGGGGCCGCAGTTGGTGTCATCGTTACTGTCACGTCGCTACTGGATAATATCAGGTCGCTCAGCCATTCGTTATGTAATCTTTAAATGTGTAACGTGTGCGCGCCACAGACCGACCGTTATACATCCGATCATGTCAGATCTCCCGTCGAGTAGAGTGACCCCCTCTCGACCATTTCTGCACGTTGGAATAGACTTTGCGGGCCCGTTCATGATTGCTGAAGGACGGCGCAAAAATGCACGGTCAATCAAATGCTATCTGTCTGTATTTATATGTATGGCGGTCAAAGCAGTGCATATAGAAGTGGTAACCGATTTATCGACCGAGGCCTTTCTGGCGGCTCTCCAGCGGTTTGTTGCTCGTCGTGGGAAACCGTCCGATATATATTCGGACTGTGGCACAAATTTCAAAGGAGCTGACCAGCAACTACGTAATACTCTACTCAGTTCCACCGCACGAACCAGGTACATTAATGATATACCGTGCACATGGCATTTTAACCCTCCGGCAGCCCCCCACTTTGGAGGGATATGGGAGGCCGCCGTGAAATCAGCTAAATTTCACATAAAGCGCGTCATCGGCACTCAACGACTAACTTTCGAGGAAATTACTACACTAGCAGCAAGAGTGGAAGCCGTCTTGAACTCGCGACCATTAGTAGCCCCGTCAGCAGATCCAAATGATTTTCGGGCTCTGTCACCAGGTGATTTTTTAATTGGCCACCCGTTAGTGGACATACCTGAATCTGACGTCACGGCAGTTGCACAAAATAGATTGACGCGGTGGGAGTTACTCCGTCAGATGTACCAATCATTTTGGAAGCGTTGGTCTACCGAATACCTTACATCATTGCAAGGTCGATCTAAATGGTTAGACAACAAACCAAATATTAAGGTTGGTGATTTAGTATTGGTGCATCAGCCCAACCAACCACCCATTCAGTGGAAACTTGGTCGGATTGAACATACGCACCCCGGTTCAGATGGAGTAGTACGAGTTGCGACAGTACGTACTGCCACCGGAACATTAGTGAGGCCAGTGGTTAAACTAGCCATACTTCCTATCGAATCTCAATAATCCTGTCCTTCATTTAGTATTTAAGTTTTTCTTTTGTGTCGTGTGCTAATTATACGTGCGACATTTGCACTTCCACCACCATTGGTGGGATAATATTAAAATAGTTTTGTTTCTACTACTGTCGTATTTTTAAAAATGTATGTATTGTAAAAAAAAAAAATAGTGTAATTTTGTATTATTGTAATATTAATCATTATGTTAGTATCACCCGTGTATGGACTTGACTTACACTTTTCGAAAGTCCTATGTCTTTCAATGGGGGAGTATGTTGAGTACAGATTGATAACCCGCCGCCTGAACTATACGGCTTCAAAGACGGTCGACATAGCGGTCTATGATCGGCGGTGTCATGATCGAACAGTGGTGATTCTCACAGTACACAGGAACCATCTCCGTTCGCGCTGTTTTACGCACAATTATAAAGAGATGTCAGTATTATTGTAACATTATATTTGTTGTTCTGTGTCCGTGCTGCAGGGTAATACCTTATACGCGCTCCCGTACGCATACCCATCATTGTCGTCTTCATCCAAGACATCATCTTCACCCACCACATCATCATCACTCTATCGCCCTCATTCCAGGATTCATCCATCGGTGGTACCGTGAGTTGGCTATATGCCCTACACTGTAGTAAAATTATTAATTATTGTTATTAATTATTATTTAATTATTTAAAACCTTTGTCCAAGCTACTAATATAGTTGTAAGTAGGGCTGTACGAATATCTAGTGTTAATTATTGAAAATATCAATCCGATTTATGTGTTATATTACGAGCATTGTATTTATTGATTAGGGACAGTATCGGGTAAAATTTAAACTCATCCGCACACGACGAAATTATCTCCGAGGTTGATAACCCGGAATAATACGTCAAACATTTGGTCCTTCGAACCGGATATGTCCCTGTTTCCTTATTACAATAGTTCTAATCGCTAACCCTTCCTTACAACGAAATTAAGGGCTGAAACGCGTTTCTGCTGAGAAGTGATTTTCACAAGTTTATTTTGCGCGCTTTGTATATACCGGTGTACAATTTTATTATCAGATTATAATACCTATTACATAATTACGTCACCGAGTTTACCCATTCAAAGTTCATTTATGTGCAAATTCCTGGACGTCCAGTATATATCATTACAATGAAACAAAAATATTGTTGAAGATACGTTGACTGTTACTTTTGAATTACGTAACTGCGATAACCGGTGGTAGAGTGGTCGTCGTGATTCATTATCAAGTTATTATATAATATAAAGATATCCGCGTACCCGACGGTATTAAGCAATTAAGATAATCGTTAACACGATAATTCATGTAATACAGTAATTGGTAAACCACTTGCTTAATTGGCTTCTAATTGACCAATTTGCACCCATACATTAGTACGTTACCTGTTTAATTAGTATAACTCATCGCTACCGTTCGCTACTGTCCGCGACAATTATAACGTCCGTTAAGTATGCCGTTAACGGCAGGTGATAAAGAGCGGGCGGAGAGGTCACTTAAACGCAGTATTATTAAGCGAGACGCCTGTGCTGAGCAAATGTTAGTTTTGAAGAATATGATAGACACGGCGACGACTGATAAAAATATATTACCGATAATAATCGCTAGGAAATCGGACCTTGAAATCTTTATGTCAGATTTTCGTATTGATCAAGACGACATATTGACGCAACTTGTTGACCTTGATAGGGAGGTAGAATTCGCAAATGTCCATGCGTCGGTAACAAGAACTGTTCATGAATATTATTATTCGATCAACGCATCATTTGAGACGTTAGGGCTGAATAAAAAGGAAACTCAACATCCAGTTAGATCTACCAATAACTTACCCAAAATTCAGTTGCCGTCCTTTAATGGTGACATATTACAGTGGCGATCGTTTAGGGATACATTTATCTCGTTAGTTCATTCGGACACCCTACTGCCTGCAATTACGAAATTTCATTATTTGTTAGCCGCGGTGTCAGGCTCTGCTGCGTCGGTTGTTCGATCTGTCCCTTTGACAGAAGCAAATTACGCCATCGTATGGGACGCGTTACTTGAACGTTATGATAACAAACGATTACTCCTAAACGCACACTTAGATAGTATGTTCCACTTGACTCCAATAAACACGGCGACGTTGTCCAATTTGAAACAGTTTGTCACTACGTTCCAGGAGAATTTTGCTGCAATAAAGGCACTAGAAGTGAACGATTTATCTGGTTTTGTATTATTCTACATCGCATCTCGTACATTAGACTTGAACACAAAGCGGTTATTTGAATCCGAATATCACGATGTTGCTGTACCGACGTTAGACATGCTATTAGATTTTGTAAAAATGCGTTGTAATGTTTTACAAAATTCGTCTTCGTCATATGTTTCTGCACCGAGATTGAATGAAAAACAATATAAACCTAAATCTTCTTTTGTTACCGCATCTAGTTCTGACAACACCACTTGCATTGTTTGCAAATCGAACCATAATTTATATCAATGTCCTAAATTTACGCAGCGTCCGGTGAAACAAAGATTTAAGTTTGCAAGATCAAATAAATTATGTATGAACTGCTTAAGTTCGTTACATAAAACGTCGGATTGTAAATCTACTCACACGTGTCGACATTGTTCGTTGAAACATAATTCGTTGCTACATCTCGAATTCAAAACGCCGGCACGTTCTTCCCAGCATCATAACGCCGAAGAATCGTCTTCCGAAAGGTCCACTCCATCTACGTCGTCGGGTGTCGATAACTCTCAATTTGTTGGCACCTCGCGCTGTGCGGCAAATGTGGTACTCGGTACCGCGATAGTTCGTATACAAAATAGTGCCGGAGCATGGACACCCATTCGGGTATTAGTGGATCCGGGTTCACAAGTTTCAATCATAACCAATGAGTGTGTGTCTCGGCTGGGGCTCAAACGTCGCCATTGCACAACCTCTGTAACAGGGTTATCACAAACTCGCGTAGCAACGACGAAGGGTGTGGTGGACTGTACCATAGCGTCCATAGTCCATTCCATTACTAATGAGTCAAAAATATTTTGTGAACCTATAATTTTATCAAAAATTATTGGCCTTATGCCTAACATGCCGCTACCCAACTCTATCCGTTCTTCATACAGTCACGTGTTATTGGCTGACCCGCAGTTTGACGTTCCCGGACCGATTGATTTTCTGTTGGGTGCCGACGTCTATCCACAGATATTAGGACCGTCTTCACGTGCACTACATATCCCTGGACTACCATCTGCGTTAGAAACCACGTTAGGTTGGATCATTTTAGGTTCATCCGTGGATAAAGGTAAATCGCCGAAGGTGACCCTAATGCTAACCTCAGAAGTGACTATTGATAATCTTTTACGTACATTCTGGGAAATCGAAGAACCAATACCCACGAATAAGTTTTTTACGGGTGACCAAAAATGCGAAGAATTTTTCTGTCGCACTACGACTCGAGACGCTACCGGTCGGTTTACGTTATCGCTGCCATTTAAACACAATTCTTCGTTACTTGGGGTGTCACGCGACATGGCAGTCGCACGTTTTTTAAACCTTGAGCGTAAATTGATCAAAGACCCGGAAGTGTATGAACAATACCGGGCCTTTATGCGGGAGTATGAAGAGTTGGGACATATGCAACTCGCGTCGAGACCGGGCAAGTATCATATTCCACACCATGCAGTGATTAAACGAAGTGCCAAGACTATGAAATTAAGAGTAGTATTCGACGCGTCGGCGGTATCCGCTACTGGAAAATCGTTGAATGATATGCTCCATGTGGGCCCAAAATTGCAGAACGATATCTCAGATTTACTACATCGATGTCGACTTCATAAGTATATGTTTACGGCCGATATTTGTAAGATGTATCGGCAAATCAAGATACATCCTGATGACTGCCAATACCAACATATCGTTTGGCGTAATGATGTGTCCGATCCCCTTCAAGATTATGAACTAACTACAGTGACCTACGGTGTCACATCGTCACCTTACCAAGCCATTCGAGTGTTACATTCATTAGAAGAGACAGATGGTCACCGATATCCGTGTGCGTCAAACATCTTGTCTACACAAACGTATGTTGACGATATATTGACCGGTCATCGCACTGTTGACGGTATTGTTAAATGCCAAGAGCATATAACTCAGTTGTTAGCGAGCGCAGGATTTGAATTAAAAAAATGGTCTTCGAATTGTGATGAACTACTTCGCCATATTCCGAAAGAAAATCAATCCATTAATACATCATTCGACCCCAAAGATAATACGTCGGTAAAAATTTTAGGGTTACATTGGACACCGACTACCGACACATTTAGTTACCACACGTCGGCAGTACCCACAATTTATACAAAACGATCGATATTATCTACGATTGCTAAACTCTACGACCCAATCGGGGCACTGGGTCCGATAATATTTTGGGCGAAATGTTATATGCAATCGTTGTGGCAAATTAAGCTACAATGGGATGACCCACTCCCGCAATCATTGTGTGACATATGGAAACAATACTCATCGGAATTATCATGTGTTAATAAGATACGATTACCTCGATTTATTGCATGCCCAGATGACAGTAATGTTCAATTAATTGGATTTTCAGATGCTTCTGAAAAGGGGTACGCAGCTGTCATATATTTGCGAATATGTCACGCTGATGGAAATATTACAATTCATTTTATTACCTCAAAGTCCAAGGTAGCGCCGTTGAAGTCTGCGAATAAGGATACTTCATTAACTATTCCACGCTTAGAGTTGTGTGGAGCGCTGTTATTGGCACAAGTTCTAAACCGAATGATAATAACGTTTGAAAACATTGTACCTGCTGGCCACATATATGCATGGACGGATTCACAAGTGGTTCTATCTTGGTTAACATCGTCCCAACAGCAATTCAAAACATTTGTAACAAATAGGCTCGCAAAGATTGTGGAACTGTTACCAATGTGTAACTGGCGCTATGTTGCATCACAATCAAATCCGGCTGATTGTGTGTCACGGGGCTTACTCCCCTCACAAATTATCGATCACGATCTATTTTGGCAAGGACCACCATTCTTAAAAACCCCTGAATCGGAATGGGTTGTGGTATGTGTCAATAAATTACTACCATCACATCTGCCTGAGTATCGCAGTACTATGCCAAAAACGTGTTTGGCATCACTAGTCAACGTAGATGTTGATTGGGTCACCCAATTTTCGTCGTTAAAGCGCATGCAACGGGTGGTTGCGTTCATGTTACGGTTCGTCAATCGTGCTCGTAAGTTACCCATTCACGATGGTCCTATTCAATACACAGAAACGGAAGAGGCAATGCTACACATTGTTCGTATGACACAGCGTTCTTACTTTGCTAACTTGTTTAATACACTAAAGTCTCAAACATCGAAAGTGTCACCTCGGTCTATTGCTCAGCTCGCCCCGTTCGTTGATAAAAACCATATTATACGTGTAGGTGGACGACTTCGACAGTCACAGGTGCCATTTGAAACACAAAATCCTATATTGATACCTAAGTCTAGTATTGTGACCACCCTACTAATTCGGCATTTTCATTTGACGCACCTTCATGCGGGGCCGCAGTTGGTGTCATCGTTACTGTCACGTCGCTACTGGATAATATCAGGTCGCTCAGCCATTCGTTATGTAATCTTTAAATGTGTAACGTGTGCGCGCCACAGACCGACCGTTATACATCCGATCATGTCAGATCTCCCGTCGAGTAGAGTGACCCCCTCTCGACCATTTCTGCACGTTGGAATAGACTTTGCGGGCCCGTTCATGATTGCTGAAGGACGGCGCAAAAATGCACGGTCAATCAAATGCTATCTGTCTGTATTTATATGTATGGCGGTCAAAGCAGTGCATATAGAAGTGGTAACCGATTTATCGACCGAGGCCTTTCTGGCGGCTCTCCAGCGGTTTGTTGCTCGTCGTGGGAAACCGTCCGATATATATTCGGACTGTGGCACAAATTTCAAAGGAGCTGACCAGCAACTACGTAATACTCTACTCAGTTCCACCGCACGAACCAGGTACATTAATGATATACCGTGCACATGGCATTTTAACCCTCCGGCAGCCCCCCACTTTGGAGGGATATGGGAGGCCGCCGTGAAATCAGCTAAATTTCACATAAAGCGCGTCATCGGCACTCAACGACTAACTTTCGAGGAAATTACTACACTAGCAGCAAGAGTGGAAGCCGTCTTGAACTCGCGACCATTAGTAGCCCCGTCAGCAGATCCAAATGATTTTCGGGCTCTGTCACCAGGTGATTTTTTAATTGGCCACCCGTTAGTGGACATACCTGAATCTGACGTCACGGCAGTTGCACAAAATAGATTGACGCGGTGGGAGTTACTCCGTCAGATGTACCAATCATTTTGGAAGCGTTGGTCTACCGAATACCTTACATCATTGCAAGGTCGATCTAAATGGTTAGACAACAAACCAAATATTAAGGTTGGTGATTTAGTATTGGTGCATCAGCCCAACCAACCACCCATTCAGTGGAAACTTGGTCGGATTGAACATACGCACCCCGGTTCAGATGGAGTAGTACGAGTTGCGACAGTACGTACTGCCACCGGAACATTAGTGAGGCCAGTGGTTAAACTAGCCATACTTCCTATCGAATCTCAATAATCCTGTCCTTCATTTAGTATTTAAGTTTTTCTTTTGTGTCGTGTGCTAATTATACGTGCGACATTTGCACTTCCACCACCATTGGTGGGATAATATTAAAATAGTTTTGTTTCTACTACTGTCGTATTTTTAAAAATGTATGTATTGTAAAAAAAAAAAATAGTGTAATTTTGTATTATTGTAATATTAATCATTATGTTAGTATCACCCGTGTATGGACTTGACTTACACTTTTCGAAAGTCCTATGTCTTTCAATGGGGGAGTATGTTGAGTACAGATTGATAACCCGCCGCCTGAACTATACGGCTTCAAAGACGGTCGACATAGCGGTCTATGATCGGCGGTGTCATGATCGAACAGTGGTGATTCTCACAGTACACAGGAACCATCTCCGTTCGCGCTGTTTTACGCACAATTATAAAGAGATGTCAGTATTATTGTAACATTATATTTGTTGTTCTGTGTCCGTGCTGCAGGGTAATACCTTATACGCGCTCCCGTACGCATACCCATCATTGTCGTCTTCATCCAAGACATCATCTTCACCCACCACATCATCATCACTCTATCGCCCTCATTCCAGGATTCATCCATCGGTGGTACCGTGAGTTGGCTATATGCCCTACACTGTAGTAAAATTATTAATTATTGTTATTAATTATTATTTAATTATTTAAAACCTTTGTCCAAGCTACTAATATAGTTGTAAGTAGGGCTGTACGAATATCTAGTGTTAATTATTGAAAATATCAATCCGATTTATGTGTTATATTACGAGCATTGTATTTATTGATTAGGGACAGTATCGGGTAAAATTTAAACTCATCCGCACACGACGAAATTATCTCCGAGGTTGATAACCCGGAATAATACGTCAAACAAATACTGCTTCTCTTGAATTTAAAATAAAATATTCTAGTATTTAGGATTTTATACAGCATCATTAATTGTTTTTTTTATATTATGGATACACTTTATTGTATATTGCATAATAGATTATGGGTATATACACTTTAAACTAACTATTAAATCGGGTTCGTGTAACGGTATATTAATATATAATTATAATGTGGCAGATAACTGATATTTCTATATGGATTTAACAGCAAAATACATTTTAAATTACATCATTACTACGGTTAATTTTAATGGACGTGAACTTTATCCACAGGTAATCTATTGGGAATTGCCCACAAACATGTATCACGGACTGAACAAAAGTCGCGTTTTTATTTTTGTTGTCATTGTTTGAAATGGATCATTGTTAAAATCTCGTCAATGTAGTCAGAACTGGGCAAAAATCAAAATGTCTAGATATCATAACAATGAAACACACATGTTTTATGCTTTACCTACATGACGTTTATTATGATATACACGTAAATGTATGTTACCCCGTGGCCGTGGGGGGAGGGAGTAGGATTGAGCGTCACAGCATAGCCGGGAGGTAATTTCCGTAACACAAACAACTGATCTACTAGGGATGATATCATAACATGATAACATATTTAAGTTACGGACGCCGAAAGAGAGGGTGTGTGCTATTTGCCAGCGGTCTCGTCTCGTCACGACTCCCGCACCACCGCCGGTCGCCGGAGCGCGACATCTGCAACACCCACCACCGTCCTCCCTCGAAAAGTTGCAGCAGACGTAATAGGTATTATCACCTTGCGTATGATTACGTAGTCGCATTGTCAAAACATAATAATAACAATGATATAATGTGTATCGGCATGCACTGCGACCCGCGGTCATCGGGTTTGAGCTCAACGCCACTGTGGCGCTGGTCAAGTCGTTCGCCTTCTATTTTCCGTTCATCATTGGGCAAGAATATTATATACTATTATGAAAGCCCCATAGGCGTGACTAGACTTCATCAGCAGGGGCTGCCTAGCTAATGATCGGCGCTACCTTATTAGTCATTAGTGAACCGAAAAAGCCCTATACACCCAAAGCTGTATTTTTTTAACCCCCCCCCTCCACAATGAAATATTTATATAATTAAAAAATAAGTCTAAATTATCTATTTACAATAATAAACTACAGTAACTTCAAAAATATTCTTCTTCTATAGGCCACAGGGATCAAAATGTCGGAAAAATTCGGAAAAATGTCCGAAAAAACAGAATTTTTGGAAAATTAAAAAATTGTATTTACGCTTAAAAATTAAAATAAGTAAAAAAAAAAACGTGGTTTTAAATGAAACCAATTTTTTTAAAATTTTTCAGAAAAAAACTAAAAAACCCAGTCTTTTTTCGGAAATTTTGATCCCTATTTATCTACAGTCTTGGATCATACCACTTGGCTACAAATCAAACATAATACAACAATAATATCAATAATACCTAGATGCGTCCCGTACCGTCGCCGACTGTCTCAAGTGTTTATAGTAGGTTTTTCCGATTTCCAAAGTCAGGAAATCAATTTGACAATACATGTTAAATAAAGAAATTATCTACCTGATTTTGTTGAACTATCTTTGTAAGAAAATGTTAATTATAACGATACATACAAAAAAAATCAAGTTTTAAAAAAAAATAAATTTTGTGACACTTCTGATTTAAAACTAGGTTGACCGGTACCTTTCAAAAATTGCAGGGGCAGCCCTGGCACCCTAGGCTGACACCGTAGACATGCCTATGGAAAGCCCTGCACCAGTGCAAACGACGTGAACACCTATATGACATGCATTATAATATACATATTATTGTATATAGCCTCCACTGAACCACTCGTTCCGTCGTGATATAGGTTCGCGGTCGAAAAGGTTACGGCGCCCGATGAGACGCGAACGCGACCGCACCTGACCGGGTTTCCAGACCACCCACCCCTCCTTTAACCCCCCCCCCCCCTCCTAACCCAACCAAAAGACCCGCACTCACACTCACGGATATATACATAATATAATTTATACGTGTTCACACACACAGGCGCGCTATCATCATATATATATATATTATTATACGCATGCACGTACATATTATATATATATATACGACGTACATCCCCCGGGGGACGACCGCCGCCGAGACGCTCGAGAGACAGCAGCTGGTCCCCCCGCTGCAGTTGTGCCGCTGAGAGCAGCCGCCGCCCACTCCTACCCGACCGATATAACTCCGTCTTCCTCCGTTCTTGCAACATACACATACACACACATACATACGCATATATATATATATATATATATATTATACACGCGCCTCCAACGGTCGCACACGCACAAACCGGCATCGTCGTCGACGCCGACGCCGCGCCCGTCCATCGGTATATAGTGTACCCCCGAGAGACCGGCTACGACGACGACAACCAAGGTTCGTATACTATATACTATGCGCCACTACTACTGCGACTGCTATACGACTGTTACTATATATTATTATTATTATTATTATATATAGTATATGTACGTACCTATAGCTGTATAATACTCGTACTAACTATACTATACTATTTCTACTACTACTACTACTATACAAATGGTACTATACACGCGAATCGGAACGGAAAAGTTTGTTACCTCCACTGCCACGCGTCCTGTTGGCCGTCTGTAGCCGAGGTACGTGCCGGCACTGGGGAGGGGGGGGAGGACGGTGGCGCCTCGTCAGGGAAAAACGACGACTACCCCGTCCCTCACGTGCGGGCGCGTAAAGGGTGCGGGCGGCGGTGGAGCTGAAGGCACACTCGCGAGAAGCGTATACCGGCGGGAAAACCGAGCCGGCAACGCTGCGTCCCAAGAGACCTGACCGTGCCCGTTGAATTTCCCATTGCGTTACAATGGGAATTCATTTTGACCGATGTTCCTACAGCCGCCGCCACCCGAGCACAACTCGCTGACGGACATCCCAAAGTAATTATGATCTCGAATCGATTTTTTTTTTATATATATAAAACATTTGTATGTGTATATGAATACATATATATATATATATAGGTGTATATATAGTATATGTTTCGCGCACGAGAAAAACACTGTTCACACATGGATTATATTACCATGCTATATTATATTAACATACTTTATAGAGCAGAGGCGACCAAATGGTCGATCGCACGCGATTTCAAGATGAGCCTTTGATAGAATTTACTATTATAAACTTATAGTAACCTCCCATAAAATCCTAGTGACTACTGTAGTCTATACTTACAATAGTTGTTCATATATTTATGGCTCCTCAAAGGAAAAATATATTCTCAGTAGATTTTTATCAAAATAAAGTTTGGCCACCTCTGCTATAGAGTATGAGGCACGTATATTGTTGGATAGAATAAGACGCACTATAACACCCACTTTTATCCCGCGTCAGACGCACCGATTGCTAACATTGGGGGATCCAGGGGGAGCAAAGGGACATTCATCCACCCCCAATCCCACCCTACCTCAACACACTGAGTGATGCAAGGGGCCGTTAATTGGTTAATTTTATAAAAATACGTTTTTCTTATCGTTAAGTGTTATACCCACCTATATTATTATTTGTTGCATTATTGACCCTCCCACCATTACAAAATCCTGGCTATGACTAGTGATGATATTGTTAATGCATGTTAACTGCTTTGGTAATGCACCTAGGGTCCTAGCCCTTGGTGCGTGGTAGGTATCAGTGGCATCTATTGGCTAGGTATGAGTGGAGATTTCTTACAGGGGTAGGGGATTTTAAGGATAAATCCCCTAAGCCTTATTTTATTATCCAATTTAAATAACTTATAGAATTTATTAAATAGGTAAAGACATTTTTTTATTTACGTTACCTACGTTTTACTTTATTATATGCAAATATGAAAAATTTGCTAATCACAATTTACCACATACTCGCATGCTTTGTCGTTCGGTCCCTTCCATCTTAGGTAGGTACGAGTTTTATACAAAAGTCTAAATTCAAACACGTCAACAAATTTGTATTACTGTAATAATGCAAAGGAAATTTGTCTATTTTCACACGACAGTCTGTCTGAATGCGAACGCATGCATTATATTATTATTTCATTCAACTATAAAATA